AACTCATCCCTCCCGTGTGGACATTCTATGTTCTATTAGATATGTCCGTGAGACGGAATGCGCGAAATGACGCAGCGAAAGATATTCTCTGTACCCAAGTTCAAATGGAACTGAACGTGCATGCGTTCGAATCAAAACGAAAACCGGTGAAAGATCCTGGTCTGCATTATGGATCTAAAGTGCAAGTCCCTCTTGGTTCTACTCTTATGGTTCCACGTATCGCGAAACGTTTCACTCTTTTCCCTATCTCCGACCGTGCTGCTACCGTACTCTCGTAAAATGGACACGTCCTAATTCCATCAAGGAAGTGAAATAATCGTGGATATATAGAGAAACCGCGCACAGCCGAATGAAGAAAATATTACACCGCCATATACATATGTGTGACGCTGAGATAACTTTCCTTAAGAGGAATGTTCCACAATACCAACGTGTCGTTTCGCTAATACCGATGAGAAAAAACACACACACACACACACACACGTTCGATATTTACTCGGTATATATTACTCAATACTCACAAGTGCAAACGTCATCCTTTATACTTGTTCATTTCTGTCGAATTTATTCGCAGAAAAATTTCTGTTTATCATAAATTTATTCGTAACCTCGTTACGTAAATTTATAGAAGAATTTTCAAGAATACTAGTCGTACCGTTCGGCGATTAAGAACGCAAGAGTGTACGTGCCCTGGCATCCATCATATTCAACGATCCATTCACTTCAATCCTTTGTGAAGGATCGTCTGACTTTTCTTATCCACTATTCACTTGAGCAACTTCACTTGAAATTAATATCAATCCTTAGATCTATTAGCAATTACATATATTTGCAATATATTAGAAATTTACAACAGTAATTTTCAGGTATTCAGAATACTGTAACTTGATATTGTCGCGTTTTGATAATCGCAAGTACGATGAAAACAGAATTATATTTCTACGAAAAAACAAGCGAGAAGAGAAAACGGCTGAGAAACTTGCTTTGGCGAAAGATAATAGGAAAAAGACTAAAGAAAGACCTAGCGAGAAGCTCTGCTTGAGTTAAATTAAAAATACATTCTTTTCAACTACCGAGCACCTAAGACCATCTCCGTCTTCGGACGTCACAGTGGTCGTTTATAAATTCTTGGTTGCATCGCAATGCATTTGGAAAAAATTAGATTTCTCATGAAATAAATCCCACTTCGTGCCCTACTATCGCGTGACGTAATACGCCGCAAACGAGCAGAAAAGTCAAGTCAAGTCAGATGATTGGCAATTTTATCATGATAATGCGCACTTGTCAACATTTTTGTTAGCTTTTATTGTGCAATGTTTCTCAGCAAATACGAAAATCCACAAGTGCAACAACTTCCTAACCGTGCACAGTTTTTTATCTTTCAAAATAAAACTCTATCTAAAAGGAGAAATATTTAACAAGAGATACAGAAATCATAAAACACAATAATTATTGTATCAATATCAAGAATAATCTTCCAAAAGTGTGCCGAGTAAAAGAAAATTCACTGTGTAAGAATAAATGTGTGAAGTGACAGAGACTCCGTCGAGTTAATTTCAATCAAAGTCGAGATGGTTTTTTTAACAGATCTCGTGTAACGAAAGGCACGTACGATCAAAATATTACGAAATATCTCAACAAAATTGTTATTTATAATTCCGCTTTTCAATCCATGATGAACAATAATAAATGTCTCGTAATTTATCACGTGCAATCTTTATGAAAGCAAACATTGATGTTATATACAATTAACTTGAGTAAGATAACGATGGATTCGAGATTATCCAACGAACTCCAGCGAAACTTTAACTTTTCAATAAAGCACTTTTCTAATTGTTTTCGAGGACGAACTCCGCGCGGCTTCGCATGTGTGGTATAGTGAACCTCCGTCGAACAAATGGATGAAACTCTTACTACGGGGTTGAGGTTTTAATGCCGATCGTATAAAACCAATTGTTCAATTGCATTTACCCTACAATTTCTCAGAGAAATAATTCGTAAACATTCAATAAACAATTAGAATGTCGTGCCTTTTGTCCAGCATCTTGCAACGCATCTTTGATCAAAATAAGACGAAATAAAACAAAAAATTGTTTTGGCAAAAAAAAACTTTAGCAAAAATTAAATCATGACATTCCCGACATTCCCTATATTACATTGTAGTAATGTAGTTGAATAAGAAAAACGTAAGAATTAGGAATGCCTAATTCGCATATCGATATCAGGGGACGCAATCATTGAACTTTCTCAGTAATATTCACCCTTGGCAATATCTAGCCACTGCATCACGCATAGTACACGACTTTTCCTCTCGTATGCTATTCTGACTTCACTTCAGGAGTTTTATTTTAACTCATAAGAATGACGTCGGCAGAAAAACCAAACTTACCAAGTTTTCTACGATATATAACGCATCCAGAAGTGATATTCAAGAAAAAAATTAGAGAAAAAATCGATCTGACGTTCTTATCGTATGTAATTGTAATGCAAAAAATGTAACAAAAATCAAATGTACGTTCCACACAGACTTTCATCAAAATCTATACGGAACGGCAAGTTTCAGCTGTCAGCGTGAATTAATCTAAAATATCTGCTGCATTCGACATGCATATTAACGGAGATCGTTTATGCATTTTCCAGCTTCTTTCCGTTCAACGCAATTTTTCCTCCGTCGTCTTTGCGCGGAGATTTTAGTTTTATAAACAGCAACAAAAACATAATAGGAACTAAATACGGACTATTTGACAAACCGTTCGTAAGCGGAAGTCGGATTTCTAATTAAAAGCGGATGACCCGTGAAAACAGTCGACGGATAGTGTTCATTGCATTGGCATCCTAATGCTCATTTAGCGTAACTCGCGCCTAATCCGTGAATCGCGTTTAATGCAAAACGCCGTGTACGGAAAATCCGCGATGCAATTACGAAAATACTTCAAACATGAGGAAAGTCGCTTTAATCGACTTACAGAAACGAGTTGCCACAGATACTATAACGCCAATCTGACAACGTCAGATGCTCATGTCGGAAGATGGTACTCAATAGCTTCTCTGCATATACGAAAGATGTTGGTGTTCGGTATTTCATAAACCTTGAGTGAAATTTGTAATTTATTTATAATATTATGTTTGAAAAAATTAGTGTAAATCAAGATATAGACTTTCGTTATAACTGCTAAAACTGATGATACCAAAAATTTCACAATCCCGCTGAATGTTATAACGTTTAAGGTTATTGTTGTCGGCATAATCGCTGCTCGCGATCAAACTAGTTTTCTCTTGTTTTTTTTTCTCTCACAATCAGTCTTTTATACTATATATCGCACAAAGTGATAGTAACATAATGATCGTTTCGTTACGTGAGTGACAACACGTTTCACGAGACAATTCGATTTGTCTTGCAGACACGCGTCGCCCTCGATAACGATCTCGATTACTTCTGCCCGAGACACAGCTTCGCTCACGCGATTAGAATTGATTCTAATTAGACCTCAGTGTAAATCCCGTATTAGAAGACTACGAAGCAGGACGCGCGACGCGTACTTGGGCTGTTCGGAGACTCGAATACTATTACCGGCGTCAGATCTATTTAATTGTTGCTAATGCCAGTTCTAATGATCCGTTTCCAATCTCCAGTCCGACTGCACATCCAGGTTCCACCGATTCTCACCAAGCCCGAATACAAATCGAAAATAGATCAAGCGTAAATTTCTCGTCTCGCGAATTTTGTAAAACGTTGCGTTGATAATTTTCCAACGCAAAGATCCAACGAGAAGATGTGACTTTGTACATTTTTAAAACAGTAACTCTCTTTAAAATATTTAACTAAATATTTAGAATTAATCGAATTTTTTCATGAGATGCAAGCAAAAAAGTCAACGAAAGAATGAGTTTAAGAATTTCTTGTATTTATACTTCAAATCTTTAGAAGGATCTATTTAGGACTCGTAAAAGTAGCTTCATAAAAGCGGACCAATAATAATAATCCGTATCATAGGAGTTGCGTCCGAGTGGAAATACGGGATTCCTGGACCAGTGTAAGTTTGTCGTTGGTGACGGCTTTGTTTAATCGTCACCTAATGTCTCTAATGTCCCAGTCTAACCCTTCGTTCGTCCAGGGAAATTGCCTCGCGGTATAGTCCTTCTGGGAGATCTAAGCTATACCGAGCGTAAAGCCCGATCTCTATTGTGAAGTTCTCAGCTCAACCTCGCTTTGACGTCTCTGCGTAGGATCAACTAGATTGTTGAATCAGCGAATTGCTGTTCGATGTTTGCGGAATGTACATCGATCGTCGTACGTTTATAACCACAGATCAACGGGCAACCCCATACAGAAAGGACGTTCAAATCCGATCGAACTCGACGGTTAATCGCACATCATCAGAATACATCAATAATCAAATATAAAATACATTCGTATGTATTCAGCGAATTTTTAATATAATCGTAGTTTTAGGCTACTCGAATGTTTACGGAATCGAGCAAAGCTCAGGAAAAGCAACAAAGAGATTACGGGTAGATAAACACATTAAACATTATATTTTCTTTCGAATATAACTATATATAAGACATATGTCTCATGTTTCATATTTTCACACAAAATGCCTTTGTTGTTCAAAATATATGCCATACACCGCTCTCCGTTTTGTGCAATCACAATTATAAGAAGGATTCAATTCCCTTAAGATATTTCAAATATATAGTTTTGAAAGAAGCCTGTGCCGGAATAGGTCGTGGCCATTTTAGCCGTGCTATTGGATTAAAGCGAAAAAGGTTGCTCGCTAGCAGGTTAGCTAACATATCCGACACGCAAAGCTCACTTTACTTAATACAACTTAATCCTATTTAATTAAATGCCCTCCCGATCATCTTGTTCTCTACCGAAAGCTCTCTTTTAAAGATTTTTCTTTTTTACCAATAAACCTTCTACTGCTCGCGATAACGCAAAATACGAAAGACATTCGGTGTTACTAAAATTGGCGAAATTAATCATAATCACATACCTTAGCCAGTGTCTCTTTGTAAGAACCGTGTGACAGCAGATAGCATCGTATTGATCGGCAAGCCACACTATCAAGATTATGTAAAACGCAGTGGTTGTGTCATTGAAAAATTCAGACATAAGCGCCTCCATCCCTAAAAAAATAAGCAGAAATATCTAATGTAAGTAATAACAATTAATGAAAAGCTGTCGCTCTTTTACGATATTTTATATTAAATAATTTCTCTTTTTGATATTTAAAAATGGTTTAACACTTATAAATTACAATGATATTATATTTCGAATTCAAAAATGCCCAAAATGCCAAACAGATAATCGATCCCGACGTTATCGAATGGATACGAGCATGTCCTATTAATATCGGATAGTTTCCACGCAATTAAAACTCCGACAGTGTGTGAGATTCGTTCTACGTAAATTTACCGTCAATGCATGGCCGTTATGTTCCAAAAACGATGTACCGCATCGATTTTTCTTATCGTTTTACAAACGCTAAACATTCAATCTTTCTTAACGAGTCAAACATTATTGTGAATTAAAATATCTACGGAAACACAACGAGAATGCAAATGGAAATACATATATGTATATACATATACAATATATTTGTCAGGGTGTTTTCTAATGGCTATGTAACGATACAAACATCGTAGGAAATCATACAAAAGTGACAAAAGAATACTTAATATGATCAACAGCGATCAATGGCGATTAACAACGAGAAGCAAAGAAAAGAATTCGTCCTTGCAGTGTGCGATTATCGCCCTTTATTTTCGCTGATGCGCATGGTCAAACCGGTATTGGAGTTAGTCAGACTCCATTTAGTCGATTTTCGAAAAATGCTCTCGTAAGTCGGAAAGGAGTAGACATGCGCGTACATTACGCGAGAGATCGTCGTCGTGGCAGTGCTAGATGAAGGCGCACCAGGCGCGCGACCAGGAAGGATGGATGATCCCGAGACTAAGGGTGCGACGTTAGATAATTAGTTTCTCGATCGGACACAACGCGACGGAACATGGAAAGAAAACAACGCCGCGGGAATGCTAATGAGCGGGGCTCACGTCGCTCGTATCCGAGCCGGGACGTATACGCAACACGGGCCAAGATACAGAAGTACAAATCGACGAAGAGACGTGGTCTGACAGCGCTCACGGGGGTGGCCCGACAACGTGAGAAATTACTTCTTAAGAGAGCAGGGCGGCCGATTGTTTCACGAAGAAAAGAAAATCACTTATGCCGCTATTGTAACAAAAAAGTAATGTTTGCATTGGGATTTTTACAAAGATACAAATGCTCTGCCTACAAATTATCGTGTTTATTTTTATCTATAGATCCTTCGATCAATCTGGAGTCGATTTATCCTTGTCAAAAATTCACCGAAAACGATCGCTCAACGCGATCTTTTCATTTTTCTTCTTTTTTTCATCCACAATGTCAAGCACCTCGGTGAGAAAGCCACAAATAAAAAATTTCTGTTAATCCTTAATAAAGTACCCTTGATAAAATTTCGTATACCCTGGAGCTTAAATTTTATTTTCCATCTCTCGTTTATATGAAAAGTAAGTAAATAATTAAAGATAATAATTTCAATGCAATAATCTTTTTCGCCTATTTTTCATGTTTCCCGATACCTTAGATAACGTAATAAATATTATATTCGAAAATTGACCGTAAAAAGGATAGAGAAAAGACATAATTGCATCGACTTTTTCCACGTTACACCAAGCTAACGATCGAAGCAACTTTGGGATCCAGTGATCCAACTTGGTTAATAACAGGATGCGCGTGAATCAGTTACATATTGACCTGTGCCGAAAGGATCGTTAATATCGGATAATGCGCGGATAATGCACTCGTTTAAATGCATACTAGTCGAACATTACCTCACCGCGTAGGTAAGCCTCTCACCTTTAACGCGGTATTTTCCCGGAGAACCATCTAACTCTCGATCACTCGATCCTCATTCTCCTTCCCCCTCAATTTTTATAAAGGCGCTCAAATTCCGGATACGACAAACAGCGACTACGTACGATCTACGTAATGTCCAGTAATCTTTCAAGATTGAAATTGCACTTGGTAACGTTATAATTTATATTTGCCGGTATTTTTCTTGCGATAAAATACTATATTCACTTGTGCGTAAAGCATCTATTTTTCTTTTGACAAGAGCGTAATTCGCCCCTTGTATTCAAATCGCAGTCAAGCTTGGAAGCTTCAAACAAAAGACTTGAAATTTATAATATCTCCGGCGGAACCGGATATTGCTAATGAACGTAAAACATTGCGCAAAACGTCGTGCTCCAAATTAACGACGGAACGGCACAGTTACAGTTATAGTTTCCCAAAATTGCTGACTGACAGCTGACAGCGGGTTCATGAGTCATAACTAATTCGAGGCCGTGCGAGAGCGCGCACGGCCAACACGGGCTCACGCGTAATTGAATGCGTGTATGCTTCACGCGCGCCGTCCACCGGTCCACGGCTCGCCGACGCCGACGCCGACGCCGACGCCGACGCCCAACGTCGATGTCGGCTGATCGAGCGTGAACTTGGGCCTTGTAAATAGGCAACAGTTCCAAATTAATACCTCTGTTGATTTTATGTGACAATACGAGAGCGGTGGAAATGCCAAACGCTTCGAACACGAAATCTTTATCTCGTCTCATAAATCCTATAAATCTATGGAAAATTTACAGATAACAGTGAGGTAATTGCACAATTTCCGAGTACGGTTATACTACAACGACTTTTGTCATCTCCTTCCGAATCTCCTTTAGGAATGTCACGTTTAAGATGGATGTTTGAATATCACAGGCTATCAGATTTCGAAAATAGCTTCTATTGGTAATTTTTATAAAAGTAAATTATAAAAAGTCAAATGTTACGTTATCAGGCTTCTAAGAAGGAAACAAAATATCAGTGAAATATTATTATTTAATAGCACGCACCGTTGTACCAAGCTCATCCATTAGTCGTGCGATTAGTCGCGCGAAGAATTATGCTTATTCGTGTGTATATAACACGTACGTAAATACATATCTGACGCAACACGAAATAATACTGGAATGTACGTCGCGCGCATATTTTCTGAAGAGGCGGTAGCTAATAATGTGGTTAATCAATGGTCAACTGTGTACGGCCATCGCTCACGTGTCATCAGCATCGAATCGAACTTGGCCGGTGCCAATATTGCGCGCAACTCGGCAGAATTCACTCCCTCTCCCTGCACCTCCCCCTTCGCTCTTCCCAACTAATGGACATAATATTTCCCGTTGACCGACCACTGCGAACACGTTTGAGCCTGATCGAACGCGAGATTCGATATATTTGATCGAATGCGAATAAATACGAGCGGCTGGATCCTTACGGAATTCTTTTGCCAAAGACTACTGTCAAAAATGTCAAAATTTCGACTCGCTTGCCAATGTTACTCATCGATCTCTTGTTTTTGCGTTTTAGCCGTATCCCAGACGAAAACTAATCTCATTGTCAGATAAATTCGCGAGTATCATGTGCGAAAGAAGGAAGCTGCTGTTACAGCAAGACATAAGCTGTAAATTTCTTTGAAATAAGTTTACAAAGCTCATTGCGGATCTGTTACCTAGATCTACTGGTGTATAATTGTTAGCCGCTGCAGCGACTGTAAACTATACGGGTTCTATCTCCGTCGAAGACACGCTCGCATCTTGTATAACGCTCGACTGTATAAACTCGCAGATCTCCTTTCGCCAAGTGACTGTTGACGAGATAATTAGGAGCGAAATCGTATTCGTCAAAGCATGGAAGATTTAATCAAGGACCAATCAGGACTCGCATTAACCGTCGTATGTCAGAAGCAGAGAGCGGTATCGTGGAGCGGCGAATCCCGGCCAAATTATCCGCCGCTATACCAGGATGTACCAGGATCTTCGCCGTTGATGCTATATTGTGCTTTCAGCACGGCGCGGCGCGCGGGCGGCAGAAGCGGTTTTAGAGGGAGGCAGAGGGCTATATAGACTGCCGAGGCAGGAGGCTATAGACTGCAGTTTAATCCGCTCTAGCGCCATGATCTAGCCATCCCATTGCATACGTCGGCACCTCGCATACGCGGAACCGTAATCACGATAATTTGCCTAATCGTAGCATTACGAGAGCGAACTATATTTTACATTACTAACATTATGTGTGATATTGTGAAAATCACACGAAAAGCAAACTTGGGGAGCAAGCTTGCTTGATACGTCATCGGTCATATATGTTAAAGAATACGCGTAAAGATGTGCGCCTGGAGATGTCCTGCTTTCAATCATTTTTGGGATCGTTAATTTTTACACCGTTTAACATAACCCGTAATTATGCCATATCCTAAGCATACTTGGGAATTTTGTGATCCTTTACTTTATTAAGAGCTATTTATCCCCTTTAATCCACAAAGGTTGCGACGCTCGCGCAGACGCTCACGCGCCTGTACAAAATATGCTAATATGTATACGGCAGCTTCGCATCGACGTTGTAAGCAGATAAACGGAATGGCTCGACGTAGTGCAACGTGTTCTGACCGTCTCTGAAAATGTGTTTACGGCATGTTAGGCGGTCGATCATGCGTCACTGATGCACAGAGGCGCCGATGTGCCTTCGTTCTTTGACGTTCCATTATGCAAAATCGTCTTCCACGTCGTACCTGATGCCAAATGCCGAACGACGCGTGGACGATTTGACGTGAATTCACGCTGATGATGCCGCAGGCACCCGCCAGACAAAATACTGCCCATCAACGGCAACGGCATAAACGCAAGGACGAAAATTGAAAAAGAATATACCGAGCGTTTTGAAACGCCGTTTTGAATAGAGTTGAGAAAACATTACGCAAGATATGCGATATCGAATGTAACGTGTAATCTAAATGCTAACGTAAACAATGGCATACATTGTAAGATTATTTTGAAAATTACTAAAATACACAATACAAAGGCGTCGATGATTATAGCGTTATTTGCGCTCGAAAGTTCAAGGGCTTTTTTATATTACAAGGCGTATTATATTATTGCACAGACATTTCAAGAATATTCATAAAACTCAAATTCTTTTAACCAAAAAAATTCTACAACATTGCTGAATGGTATGACTTATATATAGTGCTTTCCAACTTTCCATGCTTCTGATTATCATAATAAATTGGAAAAAATTGAAAAAGAATTAAAGAAATACAGAAATACTTCAAATACGAGAAAGAAAAAGAGTAATGATTTATAGCCTCTTTGACCGAAAAGTAACGTGTGACGAAGGAGTGAGAGAAGGTTCAGAAGACTGAGAGAGTCACGGGATGACGGATGGAGAAAGCAGGAAGCGACATAGGAACCGGAACCTATTACTCCAGATAACAACTTCCCTAAGACTCCCTTCCCTTTTCCTGCTACTCGAACTACGTTACATTCGATGTACATATGTGCTCGTATATATATATACATACACACGCGCGCGCGCGTAAAAAAAAATATATATATATATCGATTTTTGTACAGACGATCCTCTTGGCAATTCCCGCAACAGAGGGAGAAGAGTGCGGATCCGGAAATTTACCATTTCTGTTGCCATTTCGCTTGGCTGCCTACTGACCACGCAACTGGTGGTATACGTATAAATGAATGGATTCCCTACTGGACTGTATATAAACAGTTTTTATCGTGAAATATATAGATAGAGTTGCGATCTTGATCTTTATTTAATCAAAATTAATGACTAGCGTTGTTATGGCATTGATAGATAAGGTAGAAGAAAATATCATCGATAATGCTGCGAGCACACAAGCTGAGATGTATTACACTTGAAATATATTGCAATTCTCTGTGCTTGTAAGTGTGCAGTTTTACCAAAGATAAGAAATAAGAAGAGTTCAGATTAGATGGTAAATTGAAATAGTATCTAATGTTTCAATATATTATGTCGAAACAGACATGAAAATTCATGGGATAAAAACGGATTAACCAATTAAAACTTGAGAACTGGAAATGATATAATTCTTGAGAGAAATAATTTATTGTGTACAAAAGTATCGCGATGCAAGAAGAGGAAAGGAAAATTGTAAATCCAGATTTTATCAATGTTTTTAGAGCCGTTAGATGGGCAGAAGGATTAGAAACGTCGTATTTTATGCAGATCAATTGGACCATTGGTACCAGTGGACACGCGAAGCGTGAAGAGGAGATATTCAGGTCAAAATGGAAATGGGTGTCGCGCAACGTCGGCGCCGCGGCCACCGCCACTGCTGCTAAATGGGCTCCGAGCGGGTTACCCAACTGTTGCGCCTTCATCAGAAATTTATGCAGAATCCTGGGTTAACCGTCCCGGCCAATCAGCTTTGTAACCGAGCTAACGTTCTACCGGCGAGAATACGAGAGAGCAAGGGCAGTCGTGATTTAGTAAAAAGGTATTTAATATTTCACTCGCACATCGTGCGTACCAAACTCCAACGTTTTCGCTCGAGAATTCGCGACCGATTGATTATTCTAGCTAAAACGAATCACCTCTCATCGAAACGTTTTTCACTTTCAAAAAATTCGCAATATAAGAAATAAAAATAACGCACGAAAATCTAAGAAACATGTTTGCATATAAAGTCCGATGAATGTAAACGTTATTCAACAATATTTCACTTTCCATGAACCATGACAAAAACAAGAATAAAATATACTAATACAAGTAATTAAAACTAAATACCTAAAAGATATATGAAACTTACCTACTAATGCCAAGACCACTGTCAGTAGGGAGGCAGCTGGCAATGATACAGTTAAATTAAACTCCAGCATTTGTATGAGATCAACTGAAACAAATAGAAGAAACGAGTTTTTCAGATATTTTCTATATATATGTATACACACGCACATGCCGTCGCATAAGTTTATCGCAAGGATAGAACGCTATGTGGAAATCGTTATTCCGGTCGAAGAACGGCTTGAATTTAATATTTATCAGGCACATCGTGGCGAAGACTTCGCGAGCAGAAGGTTATTACGTAAGTTTAACAACACCGTGAAGGAATCGTGTCGCGTTCGACGAGTCGACTCAAAGCTTGATACGAATTAATTTCGAAACTTCATCAATTCTGATTTAAATTCCACGAAACTTTCTATCGACGCTTTAAGCACTCCTCGCACACTTAGTATTGATTTATTTCTCGCGCCCATCTTGCCAATAAATATATCAGTAGGTATATGTGCGTAATCTCTCGCATAATCGTTCAAAAGTATTCACGTAGATATTAATAAATCTAAAAATTGATGCTGATTTAGGGGCGCGACAATTTTGTGTTTACAACTTGTTCGGATAATCTGCGACACCGTCTTGCAAGTCGATGGAACCAAGACTCGAGGATAAATTAAAAATTCATAATCGCATCGTTCCGTGCCGCGCCCGCCATGGGTGCAACAAAGCAATTAAAAAGTTAATACCGTCACTCGTCCTGTGGACGACCCACCGCGAGCCGCGCCTTCTTTATAGGATACGCAGTGTCGTACCGTACAAATTTGCGCGACACTCTTGGCGGTTCAATTTAATGAATTTTAGATTTTAACTTATCATCTACTAACTCTCTACCCTCCGGTTATTAAAACTTCGCCGCAATCCTTCGTCCTGTCCCGCATAATCCCCTCTCTAACCAACGCCACGTGTATCCCTTACGTTATTTCTTTTTTCTTTTCTTTTCTTTTTTACATTAACCGCTCTATCCGTTTCGCTTCCGCTCTAATTAGACCGAATATATATCATTGAATACATTATACATCATACATTATTATATGCAGAAAGCAGTTGTAAAATTCATGTCTTAAGCAGCTAAATTATATTAAGCTTAAATTCATCGATACCAATAAAATCGTAATTTGTTCAATATCGAAGAAGTTTAATACAAAGTTTACATAAAATTATGTTTCTTTAATTTTTGCAAAAAACATATATTTGACTTTTCAATTCAATCACGTTTTGCATTTGACAATCTAAAGTAAATTTCTTAAAGAAACATTAAATACAAAAAACAAAAAAAAATAACAAATAAAAAAATAATGTATTTCAATATATATATCCGACATGAAACACCCAAAACTCGCAAATGGATGAAGGAAGCATACCGCCTTTCGCGCTGTTTTTCTATGCAAATTTGTATTTCAAACGATTAACCTGCGAAAATAACTTCCCTCGATGCTTCTGTTTAAACTTTCAAGTTTCTCTTTCTTTTTTTAAGCTAATTCCCGAACTGGCCATGAAAAAAATCATCAAGCACACACCATTTTATAAAACTTACCAAAAACAGCGATTAAATTAAAATCAAAACTCATCGATGATATTAAGTATTTTCAAAGATCACTTAATAAACATTGTTCCAGAAAATCATATATTACAAAAAAATATAACTTACCGATTACTTTCAAACATGATTTAAGTACAAAGTGACAAGTTTTTGAAAGTAATTAAAATTGAGAAAACTTCATAGTTTATGGAAAGTAATTAAGAAAATGCGAACGTTGAACGTCTTATTATTTAAGTTACAAAAAATATTATCTGAAAATATTATATGAGTATAAATAGCAATATAAATTATTATTTTTTAAACCGGTTTTTAAGTTGATATATCAGGCCAAATCAAAACGATTGAAATTCGCTCGAAATTAATTTTAACAAAGTAACATTTTCAATAAAAAAATAAAAAAAAAGTACGATGTATACATGTAAATCCTAATTACTAAAAAATAAGAATGAAAAGGAAGATAAAATATACAACGAAAATACACAACAAAATATATTTACGAAAGAATAAGTTGCATTTATATATGTAGGTGGCTTTCCAGAACATTGTTGCGATAGGAAGTCTTAATTTGGTTCATCTTATTTTCATTACCTTATCATTCTCGCACGATATATCATTCGATAACAATATGACAAAATAACATTATATTTCTATAATCTCATAAAAAATCCCTATCATCATTAAAAAGATATCTCAGAAATATCGCAACCAATAACAAATTTTTATTTGTAACGTTTGTACTGATAATTAATTTAATTTAATGATGATCTGCGCATTTTACACTGATTAGATATAATGGATTGTTTTCCTTTATCTAATCCTTTATCTAATTATATATACTCTAATCCCCTATAGAATAAATCATATCTGATTAATTATCTTCAAAACATGTCAGATGCTATTATGAAAAGTGTTAAATGCTTTGTTTGTTTATTATAATTAGATTATACTTAGATCAAATGCTTAAATTTAGAATAAATTACATAATTTAAACTTTTTATATAATTTAAATAAAAAAATTTTTTCAAAAGAAAAAATAGTGCGAAAGACGTTTGTGCGATAGAGATATTCGTTCTTACGTAAAGAATAATATCAACTCTATTATTTCTACTGTAGTTTTGGCGACAAGTGGAAGTTATATAAATCATTATAAAAATGACTGACAATTAACACAATCGACTAGACTTGAGAGTCTACGCAAGTTATGATGTTTATCGCAAGTAATTACTATTTAATTTTTTTAATTCCACAAGCAAAAACTTGGTTATTCGCTTTGAACTTAATGACGTAATACATCGCAAATAAATCTTATTATATCCTTCAATCATCTTCCAAAGTGCATACACGCGTCGAATATCTTGAAAGTTAATATTGCGGCAATATTTTCCCAAACACAACTATATCACACGATAATGTATTGCGTACAAGATTTTCATGTTTCTCTCTTCTCCAAGCCGATCCAGAATCCGCCAACAGGTTGCAATGGAAATTCCTTATCGTATACGATTGGATTGACGGTTCGTTCTGTAGCCTTCAGAGTAAACTTTTGTAAAAGATGAGCTATCAGAATCTTAGCCTCCATGAGAACAAATCGATTACCGATACATTTTCTAGGTCCATGACCAAATGGTAGATAAGTGTACGGTAAAATGTTGTCTTTGTTCTCCTCGCTGAACCTTTCGGGATCGAACTTATCCGGGTTCGGAAAGTACTTCGGATCGTGATGCAAAGCATAAACGGGAAACAGCAACACATCGTTAGGTTCGACGATCACATTCTTGCAGCCTGGTTTCGACGGAGGCAGTTCATATCTCTTAACGCAAAGCCTATCGAGGAAGATCACCGGTGGATGCTTTCTGAGAGTCTCGGAGATCACCATATCCATGTAAGACATCTTCGACAGCGACTCGTAAGAAATCTTACCGTTTCCTTCAGCAAGATGCTGTTGTACTTCCTCGCGCAAACGATCTTGTATATCTCGATTAATTGCCAGCTCGTGAGCAACGAAACTCATCAGCGTCGAAGTTGTGTCGAAACCAGCGAAGAAAAAGCTAAAAGCTTGCGAAACAATGTCATCCAATGTCATTTTATGTACATTGGCACCTTCTTTGTCCAGAGCCTGCATTAATAAATGAATCATATCTGGTCTGACGATATCTTGCTCTTCCCGCGCTCTAATGGTTTCCCCCACGATCTTCTTGAAAAACTTGTACGTAGCCGACGGGAAGAGGGTCATACCAATGGATTTACTGAACCGTGGACACGTACGTATAAATGTAAATTTGATGATCGCTAGAGGTCCAGAAAAAACTTTGCTAGCTTCCACTCCTCTTATGTAAAACTCATTGTTTTGATCCTTCATAGAATTCACGCTTATGCCAAATGCTGCTGTCGCGATTACATCATTGGTGTACCGTCTGAAGGCCTCCTTCGTATCGATCGTATGACAGATTTCCGGATGATCGACCAAATAATTAACGAAATCGTGAGAGCATTCCGATATCAAATCAAACATAAACTTCATTTTGCTGGCGGTGAAAGAGGGACTTAATGTATTCCTCATTTCTTTCCAACGGTCTCCGCGCAAGAAGAAGGTATTCCTGCCAAATAGCGGTTCCACGCTTTCGTCAACGAAACTGCGATGATCCGGGAAATATTCAAAATCCTTCACCATGACGCCTTTAATCAGCTCAGGATCGCGCAATAACACATTAGGCGTGGTAATATCCATCATTCCCACATATTTTGCGTCCGGGTAGTAATTGTATGTATATTGGCTATAATCGACAAAACTGATGCGACCCAGAAATACTTTCCAACCCATTATAAAAGATGATAGCGAATCTGGCAGGTAAGGTAGACTCTTATTCTTCCAGTAAAAAAACATATGATGCAGCACAGTGACAACTTTCAGGATGCCGATGACGACCAGAGTAGTCAATAATAGCGCAAACGGCGACGAAAGCAACGACGAATCCATCGTGATATACGATATACGACAGTATAACAGACAAACGAGATACTTGGTCGACCGTCAGCCGTCGGGCGCGGCGTAGAACGTTATAAATACGTGTTGCGTAGATCTTATCGTGAATAAAACGAAGATGGGAGGGAGAAGTTATCGCGGTATTATCGCGATGATACATGTTGCATCAGTAATTGCGCGAAATTTATTAGTCAGTTTAAACGCACGAACTTTTGAATATATCGTGACACAAAAAAATCAATCATTAATCTAATTCAAAAAAATTTATTTCATATTTCAATAAAAAAATTAACGACGTTTTCGACGCGAAAATAGTTCCTAATCCTAATAATCATAATCACATAATCGTTACTAGATTCATTATGCGCTTCTTGCACTTGCGTATAGTGGATTTATTATTTAACTGGGCCGTAGAACGAGATAGAAATAACCAATACAGATTAAAAAATAGCAAAAGAGTATGAAATAAAATGGTTTCATTCTCTTGCTTCATTCTCTAAATCGTCAATCGTCATTGTTTGAGAAAAGAGACATAAATATGTCAGATGCCTTTTTTATCTCTGCGAATTTAGATTAATTTTTTATTCAAAATCGCACAACGCAACGTACACGCAAAATACTTATGATGAGCATCAATTAAGCTTTATAATATAACCCTTATAATCTTATTAATGTACTCATAATATAACTCGAGTTACCTAATCTCAAGTTTAAAATCACGCGGATTTTAAATAGCTAAACCGATTACGAAATAAGAAACGTCATTCAATTAACTGAAAAAGGTAAGCTCATAAAATATGCTAACTAAACGAATATAGAAATGATTAAATTTGGATCTTTACCTCTGTTACTCATATAATGAAACTTTCAATCAATTGTCATCAATGTGTTTTGCTACTAAAATACATGTACACATTCTCTCTGTTTCTCTCTCTCTCTCTCTCTCTCTCACGGCAAAAATAAATTAAAATGTTTAAAATTTTATCACTCACCGATAAAGACAAAGATCTGGTGATGCGAGTAGCGCAGTAACATTGAGATTGACACCGTCTGAAACAATAAAGAGCAAAAACTTTATGTGTGTGTGTGTGAAATATATCTGAAAATACAATCACGTCGCAATTAGCACAGACACGATTGATATTGATTAAAAATGTCAATCGGCATTATAAATTACTATTTTGAAATTTTGCCCGAGTAACTTTGACAAAGTTACGGCGTCACGTAAATTGCGAACTGGTCGCTCGTAGTCGGTTAGCGCGTTGAGCGAATGTTGAAATTGAATTGCGATCGGTTCAGATTGAACCAGCACCTGACACCCTCGAAGATAATCCGTTATTTGCAACAGGCAACCTTACTAGGGTCGTTCGATTCCATCTTATACGAATGCGCAGATGTTATTAAAAAAAAAAAAAAGGAATAAAAGAAAGCAAAAGCAAAAGAAAAAGAGAGCTAATAAAAACTATTACCTTCTCCGAAAGAATATCGATGTAGTAGCTTGGCAATTATTTTTCCACACAGGCAAAATATCATATTATTAATATACAGAGTAAGTGTTATAGTGGGATCTACTAACAATAAGTAGATACTTATATACATAGATACACGAGAATTTTTGCAAATCAAATTTTCGAAGTAAAAATGTAATTCTCGGAATAAATATCTTTATCTCTCCGCGTCATATTTGATTTGATGTAAACTGCATTCTTTCGTATATCTTTTTACGAGTTCTCATTAAATTAATATTGTTCTAAGTTAAATCCTCTTTCGCTTTTTTTTATATCGCGCGACTAATAGACATCTCTTTATGGTAAATCTGAGTATTCGATGGTATCTGTCACGGTACGGTCAATCGAATTCGATATAAGAGATGCGAATTCACCCCGGAGGATGAAGCACGAATGCGAGCGACAAACGCGCAAACACAGAGGCAAACAAGGAGAAAGATAAAGGAAGAGGGAATAGTATTTCATACTGGATCATATTGTAACGGAGCGCCGGACGTCGCGTGTACATGACAGAGGAGATACACGATGATACATGCACGACGACAGTCGTGTGCACGTGACTCGACGGCGCGGCGGGCGAGCGGGGGTGGCTCAGGGTGAACCCTCCAGGCAACCGGGGCTCGAATTCACGTGTCGCGGCACGAGCGCGCAACCCTTTATCCGATATCGGCGCCGCATTCGCTCCACACTGTAAAGCGAACCACATTGTTCGATCTAAAGAACAAAATATCTCACCGCTGAGCGGCAATCCGAGTCACGAGTTGTACCGTGGACTGTGGAGGCGAGGACGCGAACCCTATCATGTCCGATGGCGACAGCGAGGAGAATGAGCTCTCCCGTGACGTTCAGAGACACTCTTATAGTTAGTATGATAGAAAAATCTTGGAGAATACCTCCTTTTATAAATGCCATTATTAGAATCCTATGAGTTTTTTTTTTTTTTTTTGTTATAGGCAAAAAGCAGAAAAAAAGAAAAGAAAAACTCGCGACTGATGCGTAATTGTAAAGAGTAATGATTTTAATTATAATCGTTATATCGCCCGAAAAATATACATTACTATTAAAAGTATCGTGTCATCATTAGGAGTTTCACACCGGTGATCTCGACCATAGTATGCCGCAATCTATTCCACCACAATTTGATACAAAATTACCGACATGGGGCCACTACGACGAATACGATGCCTCTAATAACCTTGATTTATACCCGACGGTTCAGCTCCAAAGGGATCGCGCGTGGATGAGGACACTGGGGATAGGAAAGCTATGCGCAGACAGGTTACTTTAGTGGATGGTTAGCTTGGATTGATTGCCATATCATTTTACACGTGTTAGACTGTCGTATAGGTGAGCGTGAAATCGTTTCTCTGATGGCGAGAAATTTATTATCGCCAAAAAAAAAAGGATACAAACTTGCAATTCGATGGCACAATGATCTTAAAGTTTCGTATTTTCGGCAAAATATACCGTGCACTTGGATGTACTCATTAATTTTGTACAAAAAGAATCATTGTATTATATCAAGTAAAAAAACTCAGATTTGTGTTATCGAACATAAATGATAAACAGGATAGTTTTCCTTTGCAAACTGATAATTTAGCCATGCAAGCATGCAAGTGCGCGCGCGCATGCGCATATATATAGCCTAATGATAAATTAAACTAGAAAAAAAGACTGATATGTAAAAAAAATTAAGATTCCAAATTTCTAATGACTATTAACTATAGTTTGGACAATTTCTTGCATTTTATATTTTTTGCCAATGTAATGTTTCACGTAAATATTATTTAAATATTTATATATATATATATATATGTCAAATTCTATAAATATATACACATACAACTAATCGACAAGTCAAGCATAAAATTCATAAAATACTTACAAATACGAGCATAACGAAAAATGCAGCTAAATATGATGTTCGTGCCATCCACATGCTCACAAATCGATAATGTTCTCCCGTTACCACGTTCCTGTCAAAGTAATAAAAGTTTAAACAAATTACTTTTTATCTCAATATCTGTGAGTTTCTAACACGTTTTAATACATTTTTAAAACGGTTAAATAACCATCATTGTATGTATTAAACGTAAAAGTCATACCTACCGTAAAAAACCTTTGTTGTCTTCATGTTCTGCTAGCGTCTTGATACTTGCCATCAACAAATCGTCATATCCCAAAAATTCATCTAATATCAACCGCGAAAACGCATCACCAAAACATTTGTCGTTCAATGGATCCAAAGTGACAATTTTGACTGGAATGTTTAGTCTTTGTCGAGCCGCTGGTGATAATCGTAAGAAACCATATTCCAATGAATATTCAACAATATATCCATCCTCTGGAATATAATAAAAAATTTTCGTTAGTAAAAAAAAAACATTAATTTATGTATCCATATATATATACTCCCATATATATAAAAATTAATGTTTTATTCATATGTAAAATATTTTCGTATTAAAATAATGCCATTTAGAATCAAACACACATGCGTAACTTAAATGTTAATTCCATCTGTAGTAAAAATCTCGCAGTTAAAATTATAAATAATATATTTTACGTCTGATGTTATTTACCTATTCTAGTTGTTTTATCAACATCTGAAGTACGATCTTTTAACTGTACAACATTATCTTCATTTAAATGATCAGGCACTTCCGTGGAGTTACCTTCCACATTCGTAAAAGATGACTTTTCTCCGGATGACTAAAATAAAATGTATATAAATATTATTTCATATTAGCAATTTATATTTATTGTACATATTGCTTTTCATATAAAAACGTTACATGTTTAGTAAAAAATAAGTTTATAAAAAATAAGTATCAAACATTTAAAAAAATGATTTGTTCAAATTGTTCCTTAATTATAAAGTGCTATAATGTTCCAAAATTTTCAATGTTTGTATAAAATTAAAAAAACTTTTACTAAAGTATCAAGTATCGTTGTTAATATCTTTAAGACAGAAGACATACGTACTATTTTTTTAGCTATATTTAAACCATCCCAAAGCTTCGTTGACAACGATGGACTCATTGTTGTATTTGATGGGCTTAGGTCAGGATTTTGCGTCTCTCCAGAGATTGTCGCACTTCTCATCAGATCTTGCTCAAGTAATGTTAAATTCTCATGATTCCCGTCGGCAGAGGTGTTTATAGTGTCCCGTTCTTCATCAACAGCCGATGGTTCAATATTTATAAATCTGCTACAACAAATAAATAAAAATATATGTTTACTCTCTATACGCAAAATTAACAAAAGCATTCATGCATTTTTATATCGTAAATATTTATATTTTAACTTACCCATTTCTGGTTAATAATGCTAAAGCAACAGAAAAATCATGAACATTTCCTTGTCTCAATTTCTCTTCTTTGGCATAACTTTTCTCTATGCTATAATCTTCACCGCCATTCCTAAGAATTTCGACTCTCAATATGCCATCCCGTGGCCAGTCGTCTCTTATATGTTCTAAGCAATTGGTTGGTGCGCGTGAAAATACTATATGGATATAAGCCAACACAAAAAATGCCAATATAGCCTGTAAACAAAAGAGATTTATGAAATTTTTTATCAATATTTGTCTAGTTTATCTTGTCACTTGTCTTATTTATTTATATACAGAAATTAGTTTGGTGTATGTATATACATATATATAATACAACTTTAATAATAAATAATGTGTCTCGTACCTTTAAAAGGACTATAAATTCTATAAATCTCCTGACAGGCCTTGGAAATGTCCGTGCATAGGCTAGCGCCGCTTTGACAAATAACGTATGAAATAACCTATCCCGTACATTAATCAGCGGATTTTGATTATTGTTATTTCTAGCTATATTCATGTTATTATTATTTAGGACTGGCCCTATAACACCAGCAAGACTGTGAAGATTATGTGCTATCGCACCGTTTTGATTATTAGGCACTGCGACAGCAGCACCGTCTCCTTGCGACATTTTTAAATATTACATAAGTAACTCCCACAAATATGAGAATTCTGAAGAATTCATATAATCGAATAATTATCTACATAGAAATCACCATATTTACACATACGTTATTTGTCACTTGCAGTTAATGCAACAAAGCATTGTATCCTGAAACAAATAAGAGATTTTCAATTAACAATTTAATTAGCAATATCAATAAATTTGTTAGATACATGTGTGTGCGCACGCACGCGTGCGTGTGTGTGTATAGATTAAAATATAAAATTTGTGAGTACTAAGATATGAAAAAAATTCATTCCCCATAGAAACAACTCGTAAAATAAGTAATGTTTACGGTGCATAACTTTGTTATTTTGCATCAACATCAAAATATTTGGGAAACAAAGATAAAAAAAATCTTGAGACGACGCTTTAGGAATTGATCTTTGGGAACAATGAGATTATTTGTATAACCACATTGAATACCATATACAACGAAACATAAAAAGTCGCATATATATAAAAACACATATGCAAAACAGTAAGTAACAGTGACTGCTGTTTATCACGTTTGTTATGTAATTTCCTTGTCGAGAAAAAAGAAAACCCATCAATCGTCCAGACTATGAATATCAATCGTACTATACTATCTCTTCTCGTATGATCTTCTCAATAAATATTCCATAGAAAGAAAGAAAAATCAAAAACCGTGTTGGCAATCGGCAATCAGCATATGACATATGACATTTGGTGCTTGTCAAGACATGGTCAATCGTCGCGAAATTTTCAGCTGTCTTTCAGAAGAACGAATCTGGCATGTCATACCTTGTGACGAAATCGCGATAAATACGTCAACGCCGTGATTCTGAATTCCGATGGCACCGTCGCGTCTTCCACTACTGTAAATCGAATTGTCGCGTCGGTGCGAAAGTCGCGTGTTTGCCTAGCAGCAAATAGCGTTATTCGCGAAATTGTCACTTCATCGTCGCATATGTTTTCATCAGTTTTGATGTGCACCGAACATACTATACACTATAGATCGTATTCGCTAATTCCTAATTCGCTTACGCGCAGGTCTACCAATCGCGAAATCGAGATTTTACCAATAATTTGCAAAGGGAACCTTGCTAAGTTGCGTTCCAAAATTCACTCTGGATCTAAAATCTATAGTTTACGCCCATGCACTATAGTATTTTAGTTAACTCTAGAATGAATTTTGGAACGCAGGAGGTCGATTCTGTATATTTTGAGCATTTTGAGACGAGGTGGAAATTACAAAAGTGAACAGATTTACTAGATTTCGACAAATGAAATTGTAGATTCTCTAGTGAATTTCCTCACTTTTGTAATGTTCTGGCGATTTGTGTCGCTCATTGCTCATTGGCTACAATTGGCTTGCCTTTGAGGGTCTTGAGCCTTCTTCCATATCGACTGTCGAATAAACATGTCCAATAGAAAAACGCGTTTTCCTAAAGCTCGTATCAGACTACGGATTGGGATTGAGAATTGAGATTGGATTGAAATTTTACCAATCAGAGCAAAGTTCACTAAACTAGCAGGTGTGTCTGTCGAGCAGTCGAGCACCATTTAAATTTTTACCGGTTGTGTGCACCAGTGTGCACATAACATACGTTGCATGCATACATATACACATACACACTGTGTCAAAGAAATATAAGTAGTATTATTGTAGTAACGGACGTAACGGTAGCGAGTTACGTTTACTCCAATTTTGGAAAGAAACTCCATAACACTACTCACTCGTATTATATTTTAAGAGTCATAGAATAAAACACACAAAGTTTAATCATATTGCTTGTTAATTTACTTTCTAAATACACGAAAGTGATTGGTACGATTATGTATTCACCATTGTCGCCTCAAGCCAGCCTCAGTTCAGAATTAAGACAAGTTATAAATGAAAGAAATATGTTGAGCATGCGGAGTCGTATGAAAGGTATAATTTATATTTATCATATCTCTTTTATGTATATTCTTTTAATTGTTATTATTCAAGTCCAAGTTTTATATCATGATTTTTTTTTTCAGTTCTACACGCTTTGAATAAGGATAATGAGAAGTGTGCAGAGGAAAAGGAAAGAACTCTGAGGTCACAAGCTATTCGAGAAATATTAACCACCGAAGTTACTTATTTACAACAATTGGAGACCTTAACAGAGGTATAATTCTTAGTACATATTTTTTATTACAAAAATTATAATATTATTATTATTATTATTAACATATGTATGTATATGTGTGCCTTCAGTTTTTTATACAACCTATTCTTGAGAGAAAGTTGTTGGATCACCCATTACTTGCTACGCTGGGTGAGAACATAAAGACGTTGTATAATGTGAGCGGCGAACTGGTGGCAGGATTAAAATGTAATCCTGATAATATAGCTGGAATATTTCACAAACTCGCACCATTCTTTAAGTTATATTCCGTTTATGCATACGATTATACACAAGTACTAAATCTACTACAGGTAATAACCACAAGTATTACGAAAAAATTATTTGTTAAAATTTATTTGCATGCGATTTCTTGAAACTTTTTTTAATATGGATATGAATATTTGTTCAAAAATATAAAAATATTTTTATTGAGAGTAGAGACAAAAAGATAGACTTTGATATTAAAGTTTGTCTATAAAAGTTATCCTTTCAGACAAGTCAAGAGAATGATCCCGCCTTAAAAAAATTTATTTGCGATCAAGAAACAAGACCAGAGGTAGGAAGGAAATTGTCTTCATTGTTAATTACACCAGTCCAAAGAGTACCGAGATATCAGTTACTTGTTAAACAAGTGTTACAACATACCCCTTATGGACATAGAGAATATAGACATTTGCAGGGTAATTATATATCATTATGATCTCTCTTTTTCTCATTATCATATTTACCAGATAAGTTATACATATTTGAGAGTGTATATTTTTTATCTATAATTTTAACTCGGTCTTTATTTGTAGCATGTTTGGTTGAAATTGAAAAATCTGCGAGACACATAAATACTTTAATCGCACAAAACGAAGAAACACAAAAATTGTTAAATCTTCAGAAGTGTATTGCTACTTCGATTAATCTCGTGAAGCCTGGTAGAATATTAATCAAACAAGGACCATTGATGCGTGTTTCAAGACGAGGCAATTCAGCTTATAGGAGATATTTTGTTCTTTTGAATGATACTTTACTATATTGTAAAGGCGAACCAGGAACATCGTTGAACATATCTTGCGTTCTACCGTTAAACAAGTGCAGTTTAACTTGTGTTCTGAGTAAAAAACTGTTCCGTATAACATGCTTACATGAAACATTCTTACTGTACTCGGAAAAAGACGATAGCGACGAATGGATACAATCTATACAAAGCGCTATTAAAAAAGTATTTGTTATATGTTATTAAAAATGTAGATATCTTGATACTTGACTTTTCTATTAAACATATTTATGTACTATTTTGTTTTCAGTATACCGAATGTAGGCAAACCTTGAGAAAGGAGAGCAGTTCAAGAAAGCCACTTAGACATAAGAATATTAACGAATTTTCGTCAGATAATATACCAAAAAAGTCTATTAAAAGAAAAAGATGTATGAAAGATGAACAGGTAAACATTATTATTTCTCGTGTGTATGTTACTAGTACTACTTTTAAAACATTTAATACAAAGTGCCAATTAATTTAAAATAGAGTGCGTTACAGATTTATATATATATATATATATATATCAATTTATAACGCACTTTATTTTAAATCAATTGGCACTAAATATACACACATATCTTCAGAGACATAATAGTAAACTCTAGCACAGACTTTTCTATATTACGTATTAGGTATCATTGGACACTTCCAGCATAATATATTTTAAAAAGGATAATGAAATGGACGAGGATGTTCAAAGCGATAATACTTGTTTACCTCGTTGTACTAAAGCCAAAAGATTTAAACAAGATGAGTATTCCAAAGTTGGCCAAGTTGCTCCTGCAGTAAAAAATACGAAATTAAAATCATGCAAAAATGGTAGAAATAAACGGTATACATCTGCATATAGATGTTTAAGAAAGTCAAGTAACTGCAATTATAACGAGGTGAGTAGAAATTTATTTTATATAAATTTAGAAATGTACGCTACGCATTTACTGAAATAACATTCGATCTTTTCCTTAGATTCCAACGACAACGAGGATATGTGGAACCAGTTTATGTTCGATCACGTCCAGCGCCGAAGAACATCACACATCGCCCTTCCAAATGATCAGTGATTTTTTTACATTTATCGGTGCGACAATAAAAGACCTTTTCACATTCAAATAATACAGATGTTATGTATAAAATAAAATAAATTATTTGTATCATAATTTATAGAATTATAAATAAGTGGGTACATTATATTTTATTTCAGATTCACAGATAACTAAATTTTTTACGTGATCAAATTTTCAATAAACTATAAAATGAATGTAGCATTGAATCCATACGAATGATACGAAATAATTGAATTGGACTCGCACTAATTTTATTTATTGACACTCACTCAAAAGTGCTTCAAAATACGTAGCGAGAGAGACTCTCCTCAGTAAAAGATTTATTTTCTATAATTTATAAGAGAGAGAGAGAGAGAGAGAGGAAATATCTCCCTAGATTGAGACAAAAGCACGCATGCGCAGTAGCGTCAACTCGTCGGACCTTTCGTCGTTGAGTAGTGAAGTTTTTTCCTCGACCCTGGGAACATTGCGTTACACGATACACGACTATCATCGTATCGTAGTCGTAGTTTTCGCTTTATGGCTAGAGGCTGGAGCGGCTGGAGTTACCGTATAAAATCTGGAGGTTACGCGTTACTGTGAGAAGTGTGAGAACGTATTTGTTCGCGCAGGTAGGCAGACATCACGGTGAAAACGGAATAATCGACATTTGCGAATTTTTACGCACAGTATCGTATGCCTAACACCGGAAACGAGAGACGAGAGCAGTAGCAGGTAAGGAGGCAGAAGGGTGGAGAGCAACGCTCATACAGAATACAGAAAAAAGTCAGACACCGAGAAAAAACATCGACGATGACGATACGTCATACATCACGAACAGTCAGTACTGTCAGGTCTGTCAGTCACTGTCGGTAGATTTATAACGCTTCTTCTCTATGAGGATTACTTATATTCCTCCTATATAATTATCTACGGTGCGAGAAATTATATATATGGATGATCGTTCCATATGATTTCTAATCGGACATTCGCTATTCTCTGCACCAAATCTGTCACTTTTTGTCTCATTATGTCTGCCATAAAATGAGAAAACTCTTGTGATGCACAAATGAGCACGACTAGACGCTCTATAAGCGTCCGTCTCTAATAATTGTTTCCCTTTCACGCGCAATACAATACCAAGGTAATAAGATATGTCGTAATATACGCGAGATATAGGCTGACTCACGCGAATCAAAGATTTGTGAAAGAATCTTGTAGAATTTTTTATGCTGCAATAATTGTCAGTAAGTTTTGAAAATCAACAAACAAGTTAAAAATAGGTTTTACTGATTGACTCTATGATTTTTTTTAATAATTAGATTTACATTTTATCATCACTAATTAATTAATTATTATTTTGATATCAATAATGACATTTTATGTTTTCACAATTTTAAATATCCTAGTCATCTTTTATTTATTTGTATACAACTTGCTTTTGCTTAACATCTTAACTTATTATGTATTAATAGGATTAACAGTTATGTGATTTATTTGTACGACTGACTTTTCTACAAATGTCTTTCAATATTAACTTGAATTTTTTAGATTTCTTCTATTCTTCTGAATAAAAATTACCGTTGTATATTTATATATGTGCACCTTTTTTATTTTACAGAAATTTCTTTACGAATGGACATTTGCGATAGATAACGATGGAAGGCCCATTAGAAATAAAAAACTCCAATGCAGGCATGGAAGAGCCTATAAAATCCGAAGCTCCCGTACAAAATTCTGATAATAGCGAACGAAATGACAGTGCAGTCTCTCCACCTCCAAATTGTAGCATTTGCCTGGGAAAGCTAATTAATACATCCTTCACGGATAGTTGTCTGCATCAGTTTTGTTTTACTTGCTTACTTCAATGGTCCAAAATTAAAACGGAATGTCCTTTGTGCAAACAAACATTCAAATCGATTATACACAATGTGAGATCGGAAGAAGATTACGATCAGTATCATGTACCGCACGAATTGGTATCGCAAATTCCTCAGCCACAAGTGACTGCTACTTTGGATGTCAACTTTGATGTCGATTGGGATGTTGCCCCTCTTGCCCCTCGTCGATTTGTTTACAGGTATGATTCATGCACCATAGTAGAATACTTGTACTGTGTATTATAATTTGTTATATATTGAGTGCACATTTATAACATAATTCTATACAATACTATGTCTCAGAACAACGATGACTGGCAATCGTCGACATGGAGTGTTGTTAAATCCAGAGCAAGTTACAAGACGCGAGCAATTGCCCAGTATAGCACTTCAAGTGCCAAGGGAAGAACGTAGACGTAGACGTGCTAATCCTACAGATTATCGTCGTACTATTTATAGGCATGGTATATGGGCTACTTCATTACCTGACATATTTGGACGTTTCCGCGAATGTAGCCCTGAATATTATAGGTAAATAAATATTTCTTATAACTTGATTTTTATTATTCCTTAATCCAAAATTATAAATCTGCATCTAATATTTTAAAATTCTCTTACACGTAATACTCGAATTTTTTTTGTCAATTGTATTACAGAAGACAACCACAAGAATTAGATCGCCTTATACCATGGCTAAATAGAGAGTTGCAAGTTTTACTTGATAATGAACCAACCCATGTTGCATATGTGTTGAGCATAATAATGGATGCCTTAACTCAATACGATATTAGAAGTCCAGAATTTCGGAATATTGTGCGGCCCTTTTTCACTATACATACAGATCATTTTGCACACGAACTGTTAAATTTTGCCCAAACTAACTTTGATTTGGTTGGATATGATCAGTCTGTTACTTATTTGCCACGTGGTTCGTAATTATTCATACATATAAATATTAATAACTGCAAATATCAAGGTACATAATTATATACATCATATCTATAGGTTTATCAAATGAATATGGGACTCGTATTGAATCACCCACTAGTAGTGTTGGCAGTAGCAGCAGTAGCAGTAGCAGCAGCAGCAGCAGCAGCAGTAACATCAGTAACAGCAATCTTATCTCTGACAACTCTGATGTTCGAATACTCGCTGAAGCGATCGATTTGAGAGTAAACGCTGAGATGCCGAATACGTTATCACATCCAATTAGCATGCCAGGTGAGAAATAAATGACAAATCGCATCCTGCGTTACATTTTCTATGCCTAACGTATGCATAAATATAAACAAATCAAAAATTTACATTATTTAGTATATTTAGTCGAATCTTAAGATACTTGTATGTATTATGATAAATGCATATAATTGCGTGTATAATTATTTAGGTCCTAGTGCAGTAGGACAGATGTTTCGCAGAGTAGAAACATCTAATAGTATACCAGAGCTCTTAATCATTTCATCGAGTTCCTCCGAATCAGATGGAGAATGTGAAATAATTGGCTATGTAAAACCACGCCATGAAAGAACACCAGAAATCATAGAGTTACTTTCTTCTGATTCTGAAAATGTGTCTGTTCCTCATACTTCGAATGGAAATACGCAGTAAGTTATATAAGTTATAAGTTATAAAACGATCATATAGCAATGCGTTCACAATTTTTTAATCGTTTCAACATTGATATTGTAATAAAGTTTTTTTTTATAGATCGTTTTCACATCATTGATATAAACGTAATTTGCAGCTTTAAATGTTTGTTATCATACTTTTTTACTAGATTGGCCGTAAGAAGACATTTGGAAAATGTGTCACTACCAAGCACGTCTCATGTCACAAAAGGATCGTCTTCGTCGTCTTGTTCGGCAACAAGTAGCGATGCTACTTCTGACAGTGATTACAATCCAAGACAAAATAGTATTAGGCGAAACCGTCCGAAGAAATCAGAGAAAAAGACAGTTGCACAAAAACATAAAAGATCGTATGGAACAGAAAGCCGGAATAAACTATCTAAGAAAAGGAAAATATTCAGTTCTAGTGAGTTCTGTTCCAGCTCGTCTGAAAGTTCACTAAAGAAATGTAACGAAAAACGAGTAAGAAAGGCACGATATAAGGTACAGGCTAAAGGTACAGGACGAATAAAACTGATTAAAAGACAAGAGAGTTATTCAGATGAGGATTCATCTAGTAGTGACAGTAGTAGCACGGAGACCGATAGCAAGACGAAAACCAAGAAGTGTTATAGAGAATATAAATCGAAAAGGGATTGTCCGTCTAGTGCAAATAATCATACAGCGAAAAGTGGGAAAACAACGAGAAGCAAAGAGAAGAAAACTTTGAATCTGGAAAAGTTGAAGTCTAAGAGCAAAGATTCCAAGTGTAGCGAAAATGGACAATCTAGATCTAGAAGTAACAGTATATCTTCTAATACTTCTGAACGAAATAAAAGGCCGAGCTGTAGACACCGGGAATCTCGAAATACAAATGAATTTGGAAGTCAAGACGACAGTGCCTCGATAAATAAAGATATCTCAAGAAGTGAATATAAATCTAAATCAAAAAAGAAAATGTGTTATTCTTCGGACTCGGAGGATGATCGTTTAAGGTCTAGTAGTCAGTGTAGTAATTATTCTAATAAATCCTATTCGCTTTGGAGAAAATCAAAACGTAAAGAAAAACATAAAGATAAGGCGCGTCATATATTCAGTGGTAGAATATTTAATTTATCGCAATCCAATGCAAGTACAATTTTAACGATATCATCAAAAAATGACGTGTATCCAACGAAACATTCCGATTGTAAAGAAAAACACAAATCACGCAAAGAATCGAAGTATAGAAAGTCCGAAAATGAAAAAAAGTCGAGACCAAAGAAAAAAAGGCGACGTCTTCAATCTTCTTCTACTTCGGGATAATATCATATTATGCAATTTGTGTTAGTTAACATCATAGAATAAATTTTGATTTAACAAAATGACATTCAAGTTTTTGTAAGAAAAATGCAATGAATAGTATTTAATCAGATGAATTTCACATTACTGTAGATTGTCATTTTGTTCGTAACACATTACTCTCCATCATGATGCTAATGTCACTTTAGGACTGTCATAAATTTGTTATATAATTTCAATAATATTTGAAAAAGATAAGATTAATTAAGATTATCTTTTTTTTTTCTTACAAATTTCATCATTTTAAAATGTGTATATATTAAAATAAATTTGTATTTGCACACTGCAAATTTCAACATAAAACATTGTCTTGTTATAACATCTGATGCAAAAATTGTTACTATATAATTGCAATACGAAATATGTACTATATTATCACGATACCTTTCTTGGGAATATAATATTGCGCACAGTGATATATATACATAAACATGCAATATACGTATGTGCGTTGTGTATGTATGTGTACATGCGTGCGTGTGTATAATACCATTATGTTGGCAATTAAAGAACAGTTTGTGCATATTTTATCGGAATATTGTAATAATCCATATGGAGACCCAAAGATTGTAAATATGTGTATCTCGTAAATTATTAGTTTAAATAAGATTTTTGCACATTTTATACATACCATGTGTACACGTACAGACATACATACATACGTTTAAGATATGATAAGGATAATGTTCACACATCTAATAAAATTAGAGATATACGTTTATATATTTTTGCTATGTATGACAATGGCTTTTTATAAAGTATTAGAATAACTTTTATTTCTTTTCTCGAAAAATTGTATTAAAATTATTTTTCATAAAGATAAATTCCAAAAGAAAGGAGAAGAGAGATTCTGCAAAGCATTTGTAGTGTTAAGCGGACCGCAGCTATAATGATGAAATGTTTCATTATTGAATTATTGCTTTTTCATGGATGAGCTGAATTTTAATCTGTTTTGCAAAAATCTCATGTTTTATAATATCTGAGATATAACTGAAAAGATGAAAGATGTAAGACTACAATAAAACAAAAAGATCAATGTGCGTAAAGGTTATTATGAATTTGTATTGTACAAACATTTACGTGTATAAGATTGTTTATAATATGTGAACTATAGATAACAAGTATAAATATATTGAAAAATAGATCAGGAAAAGTATTATATCATGCCTGTGAATCATATAAAATGATACCTATAAGTAATTCATATATTTTATGTATCAAATATAAATATATAGGATGATTCTCAATTATATATCAATATTTCACGGGGTGAATCTAAAGTCCGAAGTAAAAAAGAAATAAGCGACACGAACAGTTTTTTTTTTATATGCGCATGATTTTTTTTGGTTTTATTCTCTGAAACATATAAGAATTGCCTTATATAACAATGAAAAAACCACGTACAATTCCAAAACAAATGCTTCTTAAAAAATAGACCAATTTATTTCCTTAACAAACATTTATTTGCACATTGTTTATAAAAATTCGTTTACAAATAGTGTATATCTCAATATGTAAATTTATGTAAAATGCACACCTTCCGCATTAAATGCATGTAAAAGGCTGAAAAAAAGATGCATTTTTGTTAATTTTGATATTTTAGTATTTATGAAGTAACTATATGTGTGATCATATTATATAAAATATCTAAATATAAATAAATCTTTAGATTTAAATTTTGGATAATGTTTTCTACTAAAGTCGATATACACACGACACATACAAACTCGTATATTAACTTGGTTATACCTGATAAAATCATCTATGTCCATAGTCCTAGCTCGTTTATTCTTAGCATCAGCTTTTTCTAGTACATGATTTATCAATTGCTTGATATCAAAATTTTCTGATATAATCTGTGTAAATGTGTGACAATCAATATAAAATACGATAACAAATATTTTAATATAAACAAGCATTTGGTCCATATATCCAGACTTAACGTCTGGACGTCATGTATTTTCCCATCTGTCTTGTTTATAATAATGTGTCAAATTTACCTTGTTGTTCAAACTACAATGAATTTTATAATTTTTCTCTAACATAGTGACAACTGTGGTTTGCTTGAAAGCTGCAGATAGCGTTTTATTTTTTCTCATGAAACCGATTCGTGTCAGACTATCCCATTCTTGGTAATTGATCGGAGGTGGTGGATTCCTCGGCTCGATTCTCACTACGTTTGATTCTACCTTAGGTGGAGGTCTAAAGTTATTCTTCCCAACCTTCATCAACATATCTACTCGTGCCAATAATTGCGTGTTAATGCTCAAGCGACAATACAATTTGTCACCAGGTTTAGCTACCAAGCGTTCTGCAAATTCTCTTTGAAACATAAGTATAGCACATCTGTAAAAAAAAAAAAAAATAACATGGGCATTGACTCCATTCCCTCTCGCGTTGTCCGCATATTAAAAATTTGCTAGTTCTACCTAAAATATAAATTGTCACAATATACTTCTCAATGCTGTATAGTTTATAAATTTGTAATATATTACTCTCAGAACAGAAACAAGTATCTACCTGAGAAGTAGAATCTAAAATATATCTGTATGGTAGAAAAAGTAATGCCTGCTTTTGGGAACTCGTATTTCACTTACGTATCTACAAAGATCTATGCCGGAATAAATGTTCACAAATATATAATTACCTGAAAAGTGGTTTATGCGAAAGTAATTTAAATACTAATGGTGATGATATCTGATATGGGATATTAGCAACGCACAAATCGAAAAAAGGTAGCTCTGATTTTAATACATCTCCAAGTACTATTTGTAATTTCGATTGATGTGCAGTTCTCTCTCCTTGAACACGCTTTTGTAATTCTGCTACCATTCTTGGATCAATTTCGCACGCTATTACTTTCTTTGCTTTCTCAAGCATTTTTACAGTCATATTGCCGGTACCAGGACCGATCTCCAGTACGACATCGGTCGGCCTGAGCGCAGCTTTTTCAACCATACTTTGAATAATTAAAGGATTTTTCAGTATATGCTGACCCTTATCCTTATTGAATAAAATTCCTGTAAAAAAAAACACAATGTTTGTGTTAATTTGTAGATATGTAGAATATTTTAACAAACATACCTTGTCTCGCTACTTCTGTATGAACGCGAGAAGTAATTTGCGTGCGAACTTTCGGCATTATGTCCGATTAGAAATCAGACGGAGTATTTAAATTATGTGTAAGTAAAATAATAATTTGATAACCACATGGGGTCCACTACAAACAGTACATAAGAGGTTATCTCGGCCAATCCCGGCCTTTTTCGTGTTGTTGCTGTGTTGCAGTTTCCGACACGCCGCCTGAGAAAGTGCAACTCAACTATGTCGTTTCGCTCGGTAACCGCACATGGTTTGCGTCCGTGCTAATGGTTCGTGTCCGAACTAGCCAGCTGGAGGGGATATTATTATTCTGGCCGCGGCGGCCGCGCTCGGCCGGCCCGGGAGTTGCATCTGATAACACTCGTGACTCGCGTTTCGAGAGACAGCTACGTCGACCAGACACCACCGAGACAGAACGCAGAACGTAGAATACAGCCAGTTAAACCTGTAAAAGTTAACGAAAGATTCGGCATACGTTGATCTTTTATTGTTTGTTGAAAGTTTTCGGTATTTTTGAACCGAGCCGCGGCCGCGCGCGTCGTGCCGCTTAGGAGGGGTAGGCCGTGACGTCATGCGCCGCTCCGCGCCGCCGCGCCGTGCGGATCGATACGATGACGGTGACGTAGTAGGCAGTGTAGGCACCTGCGCAGTCCGTACTAGCGGCGCAACCGTTGAACTCGAAAGCTCCGTACCTCTCGAAGATCGGCGCGTTTTCGACGTTGTTTCTGGCGATGAGCGGACTTGTCACTTGTTTCCGTCAACGCTCGGAGTAGTGTTGCGTGAGTGACTCAGTTATCATTCTTCCGAGGAATTTCGCACAGGTAGGAAGTTTTGTGCTCCGCGCGCGCTCGTCACCGACGTCACCGTGCTTCGTGCTGTTTTCGGTGATTGGCATTCCTGCTTCCTCGTTTCGCGGGCCGCGGGAATACGCGCTACGCGATCGAGTACTGCGCGCCGTGTGCCGTGTGTGCCGTGTGCCGTGTGTGTAAAACAATTTACGAGTGTATGAGGTGTTTATCGGAATGAACGTGTCGCGCGACGCGGAGGTATGTATGAACGACTTGCTTTGCAGTTTCGCGCTGTGATATTCGCGAGTGATAGTCGCTCCTCCCGCCATGTCTGGATTCGCGAAGAACGCTGACGTGCCGGACGTGTCGTGTGATTTAGCTCCGATTCTCTCCGTAGGGAAAAAGGGCTGAGTGATATTGATCGTGTCAAGTGATTCCGGTGATTCGATCGGTGATAACGGAACGCCGCGGCGCCGCGATACATCGCCCGTTCGTGAATGCTTCATAATCTCGGATTTTCGTATATCTCGCGTCGCGTAAGTTAGCGGCCGGCAGTCACGATTCTTCGTCGTGCATATAATAACGCAGTTTTACTTTCGCGGGATTTACGAGTTTGGTAACGTACTGTGCGTGCGATATTTAATTTCAACAGCGTATCTCTGATTGACGAAGTGCGTGTCTTTATTAACCGTCCGCTCGACTTGCGTAGTATCGCGCCAAGTTGCCAACATCTCGGAACATTTCGTCGCCCATTATTACGTCGCCCATTAACAACGTAACGCCAGTAACGCGGTGATGAACGCGGAACGACGCGGAGCACGCGGCGTCGCGACTCCTTCAAATTTGCATGAAAAATTCATGTTACCCGCTTTTATATTACAGAGAAAAGTACTTTTCCTTCCCACGGGTACGACCTTGGCGAGGTGGGAAGGCTCCAGTACCCAGTACGAGGATTTTACCCAAGCAAAACTCTTGTTCTGCTTGGATAAAAATTCAAAGACGGGGAAGCTAACGTACCCTCGTCCGCCGATTTAATTAAATAAACGAACCGCAGCCGGTTTGTCGCGTTTGCTTCGGGAGTGCCGTTCAAGTAATCGGACTAAAGGACTTTTCTAAACGGGAGTGCCGTACAGTATCGCGCGAGAAAGACTTTTAATGAAATTAGTCCGCGCGCGATTGTAGTTTATTATCCGCGAGTGTTTCTCGCGAGTGTCCTGTGCGGTGAGACGAGGAAGCCTAAGTATCCCCTGAGAGGAGGAGGAGGCCTGGGAGAGGCATCGGGCACCGGCGGAGCAACCTTGGGGTAAGTATCACCTTTTATCTGCATAAAATTAATAGTTTTTTCTCATTTATTCGGAGTTTTATTTCGATAAACTAAAACTAATTAGAAAAAAAGAAATTATTTAAAATTTTATAAAAATTTATTTTTGTAAATGTTTTTTTTGGAAAATAGATAATTATATCAGTGAATCTAATTGAAAGACGAATTTAGATGCGCGTAAAATTATATATATCTTTTGAAACATTTATCATTTTTAGTGCCTCTTTAATTTATATCTTTCGTTTTTGTTACAGTATCATCGTAGCTACGTGGCCGACGTACTCCGCCCGTTGCGCATCGGATCGGTGAGTGACGAATTTTTTTACAATAGTATGGGGTAACAAATTTGTGAGCCTATATTATATATATTTATGTATTGTATCCATATAATAGTACTATAGATAAATGCGACTTCTTACAAATTCGTTGCTCTAAAATGGATAGACTAGATCAGACTAGGCTAAATAATTAATCCTGGAGCATCATCATTATTTATCGATTTATTGTGCTTACGGGAGAATGCATCCATAAGCACATACGTTATGTCGATGCATTATTTATTAATGCATCTAATGTTATTTGTATCGCAGAACATGCCAAGTATACCAGTCGCCTGAAATTTATACGCACGTATTTACATTTGGCAAATATAGGAGAAAAAAATAATGTTGTATTAACAACCTGAGGCTAATTGGAAATAATCTTGTTAATTCAATACATTAGGCTTTTGTTTTAATAAAATAAAACAAGATTATTTCCAATTAGACTAATGCTGTTGATACAACATTATTTTTTCTCTGTGTATATTTTATTGAGGACGAGCATGGCCTAGTAGACAGCGCACTGGTCTATATTGAGCCAAAGGTCCCGGGTTCGATTCCCGGTAGAGCTAGAAAAATTATATTCGCTCGTTCTCCTCTCGGAAGGCAATGGCAAATCACCGAAGAGTATTCTTGCCACGAACACTTCTCTGAAAAAACATAGCCATTCGGAATCGGCGTTAAACTGTGGTCCTATATACAATGTGTATAATCCACGTGCGCAACACGTGTATATAAAGAGAAGTCACCACGCTCGGACACGAGTAATAGGTAACGATGATGATGATGTATATTTTATTATATATAAAGATATTAGTTTCTTGTGCAATATTAAAATCAATTATTTATATTTATTACATTAATTACATTTTTTAAATTTATTTTTAAAATTATTAAGAAATACAGAAAAAGACAAACAACTAAAATAAAGTTTTATAAAATTTTTCGAATATAAGATTTTACTTAAGTTTTTGGTGACTTATTTTTCGTGTAAAATAAAAATTTTAAAAATATTTATATTTCTTATATACAATTGAAATAAATAGAAAATAATTTTTTATAGATAGACACTAGATAGTTTAATTACAATTATGGAATTAAGAAATAATAAAAGCTATAAGTATCTGTAGACGGAGTACAGATAGGTTTAATAAAATAAAATAAATTAATTGATTATATATTGTAGATAAGAAAATTTAAATGACTGTGTTTCTTTATTCTCTTTTATCTCTCTCTTTCTTTCTCCCTATTCTAAATATTTCTCCAGGATTAAATATTACATAAATTGGTGCAAAGAAGCAAAATGTATTAATAAATTCAATGTGCATGCATTACAAATGAAAAAGACCAAAAGATATTTTGATTCACGTTGCATATATTCTACATGAACCTTATTGTACATACATATATAGATCACACTAAAAAGTGTTAATCGTATTTATTTTTGTTGTATACATATGTATAATGCACCGATTTTATCCTAATTTTTTATAGTCTATCCATATGTAGCTTGGCTTCGTATAAACAAAGCAAAATAAAATAACGTGAGATCCAGTGAATATTTTATTGCGGGACAGAATCATTTTTTAAGTAGAATTATCTCAAAATTGATAGTTTTTATATCAATTATATTATATTAAAATATATAATATAATCGTAGATATATGTATTTTTGATATGTCATATTATAAATATAAATTTGATAACAATTTACGTTATAATAACGAAATATTTATATAGATATGTATATAAGAATTTGTAAAGGCAAATGTTACAGCGTAAGAACTTGATGAATTCATTATATTGATTGCGATATTAATTATATGGAGAAATTATTAATCTCTTTGGATCTCACGTCATTTAATTTGAATATCTCACTTGATATCTAAAGTGAGATTAAGTAACGATTCGTGATTCGGTTCGCAGTTTGGTTCGCGATTCGGTTTATACTTTCATACCAAACATTGTTTGTCCATTCATTAATAAATAATTGATTGATCGAATCATCGATTAATTTTTAAATTTCTGTTGTCTCGTGTTTCTATATTGTACTATTGAAATCCAGATATTTGTGACTAATTGTGAGATATAATCACGACGATTTTTATTAAAACGCGATTAACATAAAATTCTTGCATTTCATGATAATATAATTCTGTTTTGCTTTCCATTGCCGCTATGTATTAATTCTTGGACGAATACATTAATTACGCGTATCATTGTAAAATTAAAAGCAAAATTAAGTCACTTAATTAAGATTTTATTAACGATCTAACGTGGTTGTTTATTCTTTTCCGATATGATTAACGCGCGCTTATTAACGATCGCAACGATTTGTCGACCGCAACATTATAATTGTCTACCGGCGCTGTTAATCAGCCGGCATTGAAGGAATTTATCTCCTTCTCATTTTCTGGCTGACATACAACCAAAACCCATACAACCACCCCGCTTAGAAAGTCGGGCGCGTGTAGGGAAGTCGCGTCGCTCGTCGCGCTGGTGGCCGGCGGAACGGGGGCCACCACCCCGCCGCTTAGAAAGTCGGGCGCCTGTAGGGAAGTCGCGTCGCTCGTCGCGCTGGTGGCCG